CTGAGTGGACTCTTCTAGAGAGGGTTTGCTTTTTCTCCAGGGAGGTTAAAGCAATACTACCTGAGTTTCTATTGCCCACTTTAATTCTCATTTTGCATTCCCAGAGCTGAGTGAATTGGAATTATCGTTGTCACAGGCATATTCTTAAACGGCATTCTCAAATTAAATGTTTTTTTTAGTAAGCCATACTGGAAATGTGCACCTTGGGACTGGTCTAGAAGAAATAACCACATGAAAAGTGTCCAGTGGACCTGGGTAGAATATTAGCCAAGAGTTCAGATCAGTCAGTCCACCTACTCTTTTCACAATGCACCTAGCGGGATTGCCTAGTTAGCACTCAAATGGAGTCTTCCTGGGACCCCTGCTTTCCTGAAGCATAATATCCTGCAAGCTGAATGGTCATCAAATCCATTCCCTATTCTTGGGCACTTGGCTGACCCACATTTCCCCCGTGCATCCAAGTGGAGGCATGAACTTAGACAAGATTGCTGTACTTGATTCCTAAAATGTCTATATAATCCTCCACAAAAGGAATCCCTTTGTCCTTTGGGCAGGTGGATATAGACAATCTATAAGAGGTCTCCAAGGCCTTGGAGAATTCCAGGATTCTAGGAAATAGTGGAGTCACACATTGGAAGAAACCTGGATCCCATGGAGATCTGTCTAGGATAGCTGCTGCCAATCAGGTACATTCATACTGGATGCTGAGAAAATGACAAATAAAGTTTTACTGTGCTAAGCTACTGAAGTTTGGGGGTTATCTATTACAACTTTTAACCTACCATAACTAATCTCTGCCCACACCAAGAGTTTTCCACCTTAGTGGGCCTTCCGACTTTCTTCAATATCCTGCTCCCCAGCTTACTTGCTCTCCTAAAGAAAATAAAAAGAAACAAAAGAATAGCTCTTACACAAAAAACAACAACAAAAATAAATAAAAGAACAACAAGAAAAAACCAAAAGAATATCTATTAGGAGCAGAATCAAACACAGCTGCAAAGCAAACAGCCACACCAAGAGTCCCCAAAGCAGTAGACTGCTTGCCAGGCTTCAGTGAGGAATATCATTCCATTGGTGCCCATTCCGAGAATCTACCACTTCTGCTATGATGACAGATATAATCACTAACTCCCAACTCCATTGATTTTAGGTAGATATTAGCATAAACAGTCAAATAACAGGCCTCTAGTCCCCCGTAGCCTCTACTGACATATGAATGAAGACGGGAAGATGAATTACGAATCTCCTTTCTGCATAAATATTTTCCCCACATACTCTGTAACCCACAAGCACTGAGAGATAGCCAGCACCAAACTCTACTGTCCTCATGGTGAAACAATGTAGCACTAATCTCTTCCCTTCACTCAGTACCCCTATTGACCATACATAGTATGTATTTGGCGTGAACAGCACTATTAGATGGATCAGGAAGCCTTAGGTTTCGGGTCAGTCAGGGTTGTAGGTCAGCTTGTAACCAGAGGTAGGGTCAGGCCATTGTAAGTTTAAAGGTCAGGTCAGAGCTAAAGATACACTTGCAGCTGAAGAACAGAAGGGATGTCCATGCTGTTCATAGTAACTGATCCCAGGAAGTGGCAACATTAGCCAAGTTTTCCAATAACATATGTGAATGTGCGTGCTTTCAGTCTCCACTGCTACTCTGAGGCAGGGAAGAACTGGAAAACAGTTCCTTTGGGTTTTGAGGACATAATTGAAAAGAGTCTCAGGAGCCAGATACAAAACCCAAAGAAAACTTTTTGTCCATGGGAAAGCTCTCCTCTTAACTCTTTTGGGTAGCACTTTCTACAATTTGAATGCAAACGCCAGGAAGTCAGGAATTTTACTTTTGTTATTGCTGTTGTTTGACACTAAGTCATGTCTGACTATTTGTGACCCCATGGACTATAGCAAGAGTGAACATCCTTGCTTTGTCCCTAATATTAGAGGAAATGCTTTCAGCTTTTCATCATTGCAGATGATGTTTACAATGGGTTTGTCATATATTGTTGTTGTTTAGCCACTAAGTTGTGTCTGACTCTTTTGCAACCCTATGGACTGTAGCCCGCTAGGCTCCTCTTTCCATGGGATTTCCCAGGCAAGAATACTGGAGTGGGTTGCCACTTCCTCCTCCAGGGGATCTTCCCAACCCAGGGATCAAACCCAGGTCTCCTGCATTGACAGGTGGACTTTTTACCACGGAGCCACAGTGAAGCCCCATTTTTCTTTACTGTCACTCTAAAGGGGTCTCTTAAGGGAGAAGAGACAAACACAGGTGCTTAGTTTTCCTTCTTAAACTAGAAGTCATGCTGCTGGATCTCAAAGGGCCAACCAGGTCTCCAGGGCTTACTGGTCCAGCAATTTGACTCCTTTCCAGATTTGAGCATAATAAACTAGTAGAGGAAAGTAACAATTTCATAGCTCCTGCCTTTCCCTGTTTCTTCCTCTAGAGCTCTAGAACCTCCAAAGCTCTCTTGCAGAACAAGATCTGAAGAGCAGCAAGCTGCCCTGTCTCCTTCTAGGCAGCCTATCCCACAATTCCTCCTCAACCTACTGGCAAGTATACCTCCAGCCAGTCTTATGCTGTTACTCTAAACCAGAATTAGGCACAGATCTCTATGTGACACCTGTCAAGTAGCCCCCTATCACCCCAGGCCCAGCTTAGGTTTAACTATGTCTCCTATTCCCAATCATCCTTGAAAACTGACCAGGATCAGATATACTCCACCAGTGTTACCCCTTGTCCTACACTGTGAGACGGCAGCCAGTTACAGACACAGAGCCTGCCATCCAATATTTCCATGTGAGAAGCTCCTGGCCTCTCTTTCCGGAGTCCTCTGCCCCTCCCCTTCATAAAGGAAACCCACAGTTTGTGCTTTTGGTCAGCTGCCAAGTAATCCTTATAAGGCACCTTGCTTTCATTTCATAAGGCACCTTGCTTTCATCTCACCTCTCCACTGTAAGTTCCCAAAGACCCAAGTAAAAGATGAAAGATGTAATGGGAAGCTAATGACCTGGAAAAGCTGTTTCTAACCCAAGACTATAGCAGCTTTGGCTTCCTAGGGTGGGGAGGGGGGTTATTCATCTCATTTCTCCCATTTTTCTGCTTCTTCTCCAAAGTACCTTCTCATCTAAGACTCTCAGACATCACAGTCAGTGGGCACTGAGACCACGAGTTCTCTGGCCCCTCCCAGATACCTCTCCAAACAGGTCCTCATCTCCCTGGCATGGCTCAAGCCTTCCTCATCCTGCACTTACTCAGTGGCATTACTCTCCCTACAGTTCCCTACTCCCCTGCCACCCAGAATGTCCAGTCGGGCTTGACACATGACAGCAGCCTGGTTAGTATTTTTATGTCGGCCAAAGGAATGGTCTCTTTTTGTTTCTCCCTACCCAGTCTTGCTAGTCAACAAGAGTCTCCTCAAGCCCACCCCTCCACCTGTGTCAGGGTTCATATCATCTCCACATTCCCTCTGCCCTCTGTCCTCCAGTTCAAATCCTGCCCCGCCTAGTCCCACTCAGCTAAGGAAGCAAGCACTGCTCTGGAGTGTGTGTGTGCATGCTAAGTTGCGTCAGTCGTGTCCAACTTTTTGCAACCCCATAGACTATATATAGCCCACCAGGCTTCTCTGTCCATGGGATTCTCCAGGCAAGAACACTGGAGTGGGTTGCCATTTCCTTCTCCAGGGTATCTTCCCAATCCAGGGATCTTATGTCTCTTGCATTGGCAGGCAGGTTCTTTACCACTAGTGCCACCTGGGAAGCCCATAACTCTGGAGCCCTAACACTTATTAATTCATTAAGCCTTCAGGCCAGTAGGTAGACACTACTCACCTTCATTTTACAGATGAGAAACTGAGACATAAAGAGGTCAAACAGCTAACACTGGGGGAGCTTAGATTTGGAGCCAGGCTGTCTGCCCCACCTCCTTTAACCATCCAGCCAAGAGACCTTTCCCACCCTCCAACCCTTAAATTCTCCCTCCCTAGAAGGAAGCCACTTATTTAGTGTAAAAATGGGAAGTTTCATTTCGACATTGGATATGGAGTAAAGTAACAGTGCAGAAGTTGGTATATGCAGGGTCTGAAGGCTGTAACCATATAAGTAGTCTCTTGTTCCTTCCCCATCACAGGCCCCCCAAGCTTCAGACCTCCTCCCTGGCTCTCCACACCAAGACACTGGACAGAGGTGACTGAGATCCTCCCTTGCCCAGTACCCTGAAAGAAGAAAGGAGGTGTAGCAGATTTATCCAGGCTGTCCCTGGAGGTGACCCGCCGCAGCCCGGCGAGGCCCAGGCCGCAGTCTGCAGATCTCAGGCCCTTGCTGCTCTCTGACGGCCACCGGGGACCCCGGAATCGCACCTTCTACTTTCAGTGCCCCTAAGGGCACCAGCAGTGACCGCGACGCTGAGGGAAAGGCGGCAGGAAGATGCAGCAGAGAGAAAAGGGTGAGGAGGCTCGGGAGGGACGCGGGAGAGGGCCGGGAGCCGATCGCTTAGAGAGAGGGCCGGCGAGGGCATCTGAGGCGCGGCAGGGGTGGCTGCCGCGGGGTCGGAGCGTGAGCCAGCGCTGCCGCCCCTGGGGACCCCGGAACGCCAGCTGGCTCGGAGCACAGATCCCCTTCATCCCGCAAGTGTGGCGCCGGTCCCTCGGAGCCGGCCACCCCCTCCTCCTTCCTCGGGCTGCCCTGGCTCAGTCCCGCCCTCGGCGCTCAGGAGCGAGCGCCACAGCGGTCGCCGCCCTCACAGCCCGGCCGCCGCTTTGCCAGCTCGCCTGGGCACGCTGCGGGAGCGGCGCGCGTCGCCGGCCCCGGCTGTTCGGTTCCACTCCGCGGCCAGCCCACTCCGCTCGCGAGCAGCTGCGCTCCACGTCACAGGAACTGGAGTAGGACCCTGACAAGACCGGCGTAGGGCTGGAGACGGAGCCCCGAGGCTTTGCCCGGTGCCCCACGCTCTACCAGTCGCTCGTCGTGTGCCCAGGCCGGCCCCCCGACGGCCGCGCGTTGAGATGACTTTCCGCGATCTCCTGAGCTTCAGTTTCGAGGGACCCGGCTCGGACAGCAGCGCCAGTGGGGGTGGTAGAGGGGGAGGCGTGGGCGGCGCTGCCGCCTCGGAGGGCCAGGCGGTGGACGGCGTGCCTGCGGCCGCGGGCTGCGGCGGCAGCGGCGGCGGCGTGGTGGGCGCCGGCAGCAGCGAGGACAACCGGAGCTCCGCTGGAGAGCCCGGGAGCCCGGGCGCCGGCGGCGAGGTGAATGGCACAGCGGCCGTCGAGGGGCTGGTGGTGAGTGCTCAGGGAGTGGGCGTGGGCGTCTTCCTGGCAGCCTTCATCCTCACAGCTGTGGCGGGCAACGTGCTGGTCATCCTCTCGGTGGCCTGCAACCGCCACCTGCAAACGGTCACAAACTATTTCATTGTGAACTTGGCTGTGGCCGACCTGCTGCTGAGCGCCACAGTGCTCCCGTTCTCGGCCACCATGGAGGTTCTGGGCTTCTGGGCCTTTGGCCGGGCTTTCTGCGACGTCTGGGCCGCCGTGGACGTGCTGTGCTGCACGGCCTCCATCCTCAGCCTCTGCACCATCTCGGTGGACCGGTACGTGGGTGTACGCCATTCGCTGAAGTACCCCTCCATCATGACCGAGCGCAAGGCAGCAGCCATCCTGGCGCTGCTCTGGGCCGTAGCTCTCGTCGTGTCCGTGGGGCCACTGCTGGGATGGAAGGAGCCGGTGCCCCCTGACGAGAGCTTCTGCGGCATCACTGAGGAGGCAGGCTATGCTGTCTTCTCCTCATTGTGCTCTTTCTACCTGCCTATGGCAGTCATCGTGGTCATGTACTGCCGCGTCTACGTGGTAGCGCGAAGCACCACACGCAGCTTGGAGTCTGGCGTCAAACGCGAGCGCTGCAAGGCCTCCGAGGTGGTGCTGCGCATCCACTGTCGCGGCGTCAGCGCTGGCTCAGCTGAGACCCACTGGGGGATGCGCAGCACCAAGGGTCGCACGTTGCGCAGCTCCCTGTCGGTGCGTCTGCTCAAGTTCTCTCGCGAGAAGAAGGCGGCCAAGACGCTGGCCATTGTCGTGGGCGTCTTCGTGCTCTGCTGGTTCCCCTTTTTCTTCGTCCTGCCGCTGGGTGAGTGATCCCTCTCCCACCAACCTCTAACCTCCCTCCCTGAGCCTGTGGCCGCCCCTTCCTGGCACCCAGACTTGGATGGCTCTTCCAGGTGGAGAGTGACTGTCCACCTGAACGTGGAAGGTTTACTTAGCAACCTGCCTGGTCTCTTAGGTGCTTGTGCTGCTTTGTCGGAGAATAGCAGGCTCTTCGTGCTTGCAGGATTTTGTTATGAACTCACTTTTCTGACCCACCTTCTTCACTGCTATTAGAAGCCCTGGGCTTGTTTTAAGTTCCCGACTGTTCTAAATATAAAAGATCAATGGAAATCTGTGTAAGTGTCTTCCCATAGTAAGTGGTGAGCAGTGTATCTGCTTGTTTATATATCCCCCTCTCTGCACCCCCAGCTTTAAATGCCAACACCCAGTAGTGCTGCCCAGGGTGGGTTGGCCTGCATTCATTAATGGGCAGCAATCCCTGGCCAGTCTACAATGAACATCAGCAGACACCCAAAGCCACCTGCGTTCTCTCAGTTGGGAAGCTGGCCCCCTGTGACAGGCCTTCCCCAGCTGGTATTTGTGAATGCCCTGGGCTCTCACTTCTGAAATAGGCATGAGAAGGAAAAGTAAAGGACATATTATCATATGGAAAGTTAGTATTGTTCATTGTAGCTTCTTAAATTTACCAAGTCCTTCAGCACTTCCAGAGAACTTTGCTATTTCTTCCACAGGCTCTCCTGTTGTCCTGGGAGGTGGGCAGCTGTTCTCAGGAACTTCCTCCCATATCTTGAGGTCCCTTCTGGAAGCCCTGGGGCTGGGTCAATACAGGGAGGGGAAGGGGAACAGCATCTCTGGGGACACATTCGTTACTCCCATGGTTGTAACTTCAGCCAGTCCAAGCCAGAACCTCTCCTTTCTCAGGCCTTGCTCCTTCCGTGCTCTGCAGCTGAGTCAGGAAAGGGACAGTAGCCCCCTCCTGCTCCCTTGCAGGTCCTCTCCTCACATCAGCTAGAGTGATTGTTATGCATTATAGATTAGAGTGTCATTCTCTAGTAAAATCACTCAATGCTTTTCTACTGTCCTGGAAACAAAATCCAAACTGTCCATCATAGCCTATGATAGAGTGACCTTCAAGTTTATTACTGTCCAGACCAAAATGAGCTATTATGTGTATTTACACTGAGATCACAGGCACATACTAGGACTATGGTGGGTAAACCCAGACATGTGGTCCCTCTTCTGCAAGGAAGGATCTGAGTGATGAGCTACCTCCCCTCTGACCCCATGACTTTGTTGCCCTGAACTTTGCTCACTGTGCACTCAGGCCCTTCTGACCCTCTTCTGGGTCCTTGATCATGCCAAGCTCGTACCTTACACTTGCTCTTTTCTTTGTCTGGCTTGCTTTCTCCAAATCCTTCTGGCTATCTCCCCATCTTTTAGGTCTCAGAATAAATGTTCCCACTTCATTAAGGCCTTTCTTCTTTTTTCTCAATTTTGCTGTGTCTTTCTCTGTATATTCTCCCTTGGGCACAAGTTTCTCTTCTTTTATTAGCTCCTTAGCTGTAATCACATTTCTGTGTTACTTGACTTGGGGTATGATTGCCCCCTGCCACCACTGACCCAGAAGCTCTGTGAGGACAGACTATGTCAGTTATGTAATCACCAGTGCCCAGTACAGTGCCTGGCATATGGGGAACAATGGAGGAGAATGGAATGGACCACAGGCTCTGGTGCCAGAGCCTGGTCTCAAAACCCAGCTCTTCTCCTTATGAGCTGTGTAACTGCTAGCAAATCCCTGAACCTCTCTGCCTCTGTTTTCTCATCTATAGACTAGGGTATATATATAAACAATGATGGTTATAATAATACCCATTTGTACTACTATGGTGATACTTGAGTGAGATATTATGTGTGAATGTAACGGACACATGGTGAGTGCAGAGTGAGCTGTTGTTTTTGTAGTAGAGGCTCAGTAAATACAAGATAAGGAATGAATAAATCACTAGCTTGAAAATCATCTTGCCAGAGGCTGCTGTCATGGAAGAGAGAGGGATGGATGGAGCAGGAGGTGGCAAATAGGCAAGATAAAGTTGGTGTGGCCCCCCTCTTAGAAACCCACATACCCAGGATTTAGAATCCTCCCAAGCCTACTGCCCAGGTTTCTTTCCTACCAAGCAAACCACAGCTGTGACCTGTTCCAGGTGCCCTCAGCCTCCTCCCTACCCCTTAGTTCATACTGGCCCCCTGTCAGGAATGATCAGGGTGCATATAGAATGCCACCTCCCTTTATGTTCCTTTAACTTCTTTTAAAAATTTTAGTTACAGAATAATGCACAGATACGGAGAAAATAATATAAGTGCCCATGTATCTGTAATCACCCATATTGAACAGATGATAACATTTCACATTTGCCTCAGATCACTTCCTCTCTCTTTTCAAAGAAATAGAACAGCCACAACTAAGTTCCCTCCTCCTGTCCCTTCCTCTCTCCCCAGAGGTAAATCTAGTGTTTATCATTCCCACACACGTTTATACTCCTACCACAAACACCTGAATCCATAATAATAAACAGTATTGTCCTGTGTGTCCTGCGGACTTCTATAAGTTGTACCAGCTATGCACATTCATCTTCAGTTTGCCTTTTTTACCCAATGTTTTGTCATTGAGATTTATCCATTCTGGTTATTTTAGCAACCATATAGTATTCTGTTTGAGTGTATTCCATGGTGTGTTGACAGAGTCTCCTGCTGAGTGTTCAGTTTTTCTAATTTTCCACTGTTACAATCAACACTGCAAAAGGCTACTATTTTTTGAGGTTGAGATCACGTCTGCCTCTTCTAGGAAGTCATCCCTAAATCTCCGTGGCCTCTTCCCTTGTTGGCATGCACTGCTCTTCCTCAATCCCTCATCTCTGCTGCTCCTCACAGCTGGAATGGCAACCCAGGGGCTATCCTTGCCTCTCCCTTCCTGCTAGTCTGCACTGGGCACCTCACCAAGTTTTGGAACACAGCCCAGGGCCACTGATGGAGCCAAACTGAGTGGAATCTGGCAATAATGAGCAAGCAGGACTGAGGCCAAGCAAGGATACAAATATTCTGATCTGCCATGATGTGGCTCAGAGGGCAGGACAACAGAAAGAACAGGAGGACAGAGCCTGCAGTACAAGCAGGTGTCGTCTGAGGGCTGTGCAGGAAGGACAGGGCAAGCCTCCCCCTCCAAGAGCTCTGAGGCAGGCCTGGAAGAAGGGAGGCACTTTTGGAGGAACAGGGAACATTCTGAGCAACAGCTTTTGGGGTGAATGTGGAATCCATGGGTCTGCCACATTTTGGTAGGAAGTGGCAGTATGTGCTTGGGGAAGAAGGTGTTGGGAACTTAGATAAGGGGACCAAGGATGGATGCGTTTGCAAAAGGAGGGTGTGAGGGTACAGTCTCCAAGGAAGAGGATGGAGGAACAAAGAGATGAGAGGGGCTGGGGAAGGAGCCTTAGGGAGCACCAACTTTGAAAGAACCAGAGGAGGCAGAAAAGGGGGCAGCCAAGAGAAGTGGTACCTCCCTCCTTACTGGCTGTAAGGTGTGAGGAGCAGCAAAGATGGGAGGATTGAAAAAGAGTACTGTATGCCAGCAAGGGCCACAGGCCAGGAAATGAAGGCACCCAGTAGGGCAACAACCTGGGAGTTGTTGAGCAGACCCAGGGTGTTCTTTACCCACATCACCACACACAAAGCCAAGTGGAAGCAGGAGCCCCAGGCACAACAGTGACATGGCCAGGGAGCAGCCCCAGAGGGTATCAAAAGCCTTAGGAAGTGGGCCCAGGGTTCCATGGGGAAGTTGGCACAGAGGCCATCTATCACCTAAAATGTTTTAGTCAAGCTAGAGCTGCAGCAGAGAGACATACAGCCAAGGTATGCTAAGCTGTGGGGCCACTGGGACCTAAGTGGCCGGGCAGGAAAGACCGGGACACAGACACAGGGCTAAAGTCCTGAGGGGCTCAGAGAGGGACTCGGGGCCATTCCCCCCACCTCCATTGCCCTGTCTGTGACTTTATCTGAACAGTGACTACGTTGGTGAATATATATGTAAAGTCATCAGTCTGTATTCATAAAATGTACCCACTTTATAAATTTGATTGTCAGTATCTTATGCCTTAATGAGAGAGAAAGTGAGAGGAAGAGAGATGGGAAGAGGCAGGAGGAGGCTGTGAGTTATCTGAGGAATTGGTGTCCAGGCTGGAAAGCACACTTTAGCAGCCAGGCATGGAGGGTAGAATCAGTGTTTGCATCTCAAGAGTTTGGCCAAGCACGGAGGGACCCATCTCCACAGGCTCCCTGAGGTGATACAAGGTCCACAGACGCACGGAGGGAGGCAGGGGGCGTACTGTGGCAAGTGTTCAGGAATAACATACTGTGCCCTGGCCCAAAAGCCTAAGGAAGAAACTGACATTACATCTCTATCTGTGCCTTTATGGCATCTGGCACATAGCAGGTCCTCAGTCAGTGAGTGTAGAAGGAAGAAGTGGCAGAACCCAGGGTCTCTTCACTTCCTTCCATGCCAAGGATCTGGGTGACAAAGCATAGCCTTGTATCTTTATTATTATTTTTATCACTATTACTGTGGCAAGAACACTTAACATGAGAGCTACCCTTTTAACATTTCTAAACATGAATATTGTTAACCCTGGGCACAAATTTCTACAGCAGATCTATACAATTCATTCATCTTGCTTAACTAAAACTTTATACCTATGGATTGGCAATTCCCCTTCTCCTCCTCCCTCCAGCCCTTGGCTCCCACCATTCCTCTCTTTGATTTTTTGAATTTTAGCTGTTTTAGATACTTCATAGAAGTAGAATCATGCAGTCCTTCTGTGACTGGCTTATTTCACTTAGTATAACAGCCTCTATATAAAGTAGATCCCCCTCTTACTAGCAATGCATTGGGGGTGACCCCCCTATTTATGTGACCCCAAAATTTTTCAATATAACAGCTAACATTTATTGTGTGATTTTTATGAACAAGTAATG